TAGCTATGCTGACGTGAAGTTTCGGGTCAAGTTAGGAAATAAGTTGGGACCTGAATTCAAGGTGGGGCGTGGTGTTAAGCAAGGGTGTCCCCTTAGCGTAACCCTTTTTGGTCTCTTCATAGAAGTATTCGCTCATTATATTGATGCCCATGATGCTAATTGCCGTGTATGCCTCCCCAGCCGATGGAGCACCCTTCGTGAGCAGAGTGTTAGCCTGGCGGGCGGTGATCTCACTAACCTACTTTTCGTTGACGATGTGTCACTGGTAGCGACAGGGCACGATAGAGCTGAATGCCTTCTGGGGCTACTCGAAGCCTACTGCAATGCGACGGGTATGGCTGCGAATGCCGCCAAGTGCGAGGTCCTCATTTTTGGGGGTGCTACGCGTGAGCGGAAGCGGCTTGTTGAAGCTGAGTACCGGTTAGGTGGGGCGGGGTTGCGGGTGCTGACCGGCAACGAGATGGCACGGTATCTCGGGTTGCACTATGGCCCAGGAGTGCAGTTCTCAGCATGTACCAAGCAACTACTCACAGCAGGGAGGCGGGCCACATTTGGGCTCAGCACCCTGTGTCGTGATAAGAAAATTACCACCCCCAAGCTATGTATGTCTCTCTACAATACACTAGTTGTACCGGTGTTTTCTTATGGAGCGCAAGTTTGGGGACCTGACTTCATTAATGTGAATTTTGAAGGTGCTATGGCTAATCCCATGGTCCAGGAACAACGTGCTTATATGCGAACCGTAGTTGGGGCGAGGAGCCCGACTATGGTTTCCCTATATCGCGAGCTGTCACAGAGGCCACTCAAGTTCCATTGGACCAATCTTGTACTTAGGTTTTGGAACTCTGTGGTTAAGAGGCCGGGAACGTTGTGTCACCGGGCATTTGTCGCTGACCTGGAGTTGGCACTTGGGGGCGCCACTGAGTGTTGGGCAAGCAAGGTACTAGCCTTTCTTACTAGCTTAGGAGTGGAACCCCCCACTAATACGCGCGGTAATGATCTTATATCGTACTACACCACCCTTAAATTGCCAGTCGAGAGCATTCTTAAGGTTTTTGCCAAGCGGCTTGATGCTCGGTGGGAGTGCCCGAATACCTTGGGTGACCCCCGCGTCTTCCCCATAGGAATTACCGGAGCCAAGGCGTGTCGCTATATGAACTGGATGGGAGCTGCCCCGTCAAGGGTTGCGCGTCTTGATTGGTTGGAGCACACTAAAGGGACCATACCCCAGCGACTTCATCATGTGCTCATGCGTTTTCGGTTAGGCTGTTGGGAGTTAGAGGTTAATAGGCCTAATGGGCGTGAGCGCACCGCGCGTACCTGCAGGCTTTGTGACTGTGGAGCGGTTGAAGATGAGTTGCATGTTTTCGAAGAATGTCCCGCTTACAAGAGCATACGGGCTAAGTATGATGGTGACCTAGTCCTTACGGGGCGCAGCATGCGCACCACTATGACTGAG